CCCCCCCCCCCCCACTGGTCCCTCTGTCTCTGCAACAGGAAGTGGAAACCCTCAGCTTAGGGCTCTGAATAATCCAGCCAACCCCACTGTACTCAGTGCCGACACTGCCCTAAATGCTTTGGAGGTTTTAACTTCACCCTCACACCTACTTCGAAACCGGTTTTGCACAGGAAGGAGCTAAAGCTCAGAGACCTGAAGGAACCGTCTCCCAGCCTCTGGCCCCAGGACGTGTTTCCTGTCGCCTCCCAGATCCTCATGTTTGTATCTCCTGGCTGGGCTGGCTGTCCTCTCCCGTGCCGGTTTCTTCTGGAAACAGGTGCTAACTGGCACCACTTCCTGTAGCTCAGTGCACACAGGTGCTTGGAGTCTGGGGAGGTGGGAGATGCAGTGACAATGCCTTTTACAGATAAGCAGATGGAGACCCTGAAAGGTGTCCCCTTGCCCCAAGTCAGAGCTAGGACAGGCGGAGCTGGGGGCTCCCCAGGCCTGTCCTGTCTCTTCGTGGTCTCAGAATTAGTAGCTGAAAGTCATTCTCCAACTTTCCAGCTTCCCCCTTGGAAGGAGCTGACATATTTCCTTGAAGCAGGGGTCTTGGCACAGGGGACCCTGCCCCCATCAGCAGACACGGAGGAGAAAATGCAGACTTTGTAGACGTTAGGGGACTGTGCTCGGCTCTCTCTCGTGCAAATGGCAGGAGGCGTTTTATGAAACTGATGCTTGTACCTCGTTTCACCCTGACCAACTTCCCTGAACCTCCGGGCCTGAGTGGGCTCTCGGGATTGTTCTGATCGATGGGCCTGGGACCCAGCACAGGACAAGTCAGCGACGCCGCTTGAGCCGCTGGGCCCTTATCTGGAGCCCCGTGAGGGTGGGTGGTTCCTCCGCCCAGTCCACGGCTCCCCTCCCCACTGCTTGGCGTCTTTTTCTTCTAAGGCAGAGGTTGGGGACGGGTCTTACTGCGCCCTTGCTCTAAAGTCATCTGTTCTGTTGCTAAAATCAGTCCCTTTGCAGAAAACAGAAGCTTTCTTTAGCGGGAGCAAACATCTCTAGACTCCCAAGCAGCTGACCAAGGTGATGTTCAGGGACTCGGTGGTGACAAGGAGTAGGAAGCGGGTCTGTCGGCGGGACGCACCTGGGCTGGGGTTGTAGGAAGAAACGGCCTGTTCAGGGACAGGAGGGATGGGACACGCACCCTTCGTGCCCTTTCCCCACAGGGACTGCCAGGTCACACACAGGTCTGTTTTTAGAATCACACCCCTGTGTAGCTCTGAGACTTGGCAGCATTTTTTAGAGCGTCCCAAAGCAGTTTAGCAAGTAGCTTGGGGTGAAAGCCAGGGTAACCAGTTCTGTCCTAGTTGGGAGGATGGGGTGGGAGCTGTGTGCTAAAGGTTAGATGCTTCTCCAGGGTAGGATTGCTGGTGAGAACAGAGGCTCCGGCTGCTGCCAAGATCCAGGGCAATGAAGGCACTGAGTCTAGCAGCTTCCCGGATTCTCAGCATGGAACAGTTACCAACAACCTTTAATGTCCTTGGTTGGCCCTCACCACGATGCCGGCATTTTCCCCACTTCATTAAATACACACCCGTGTCTGTTTTCCGGGACTTGCTTAGTAACTCACCCTCTTACCCTTACACCCATCCATCCGCACACCCATCCGCCTGTCCATCTACACTAACCCACTCATCTATCCGTCCACCTACCCATGCATCCATCCATTTATTCATTCTTCCAGCCATTAAGACTTAGCATCCATCATGCTGTGCTAGGGACAGGAATACTAAGGTGAGAAAAAACAGAAACATAAGCAAGGTTCTGGCCTCATGGGGTCAGTAGTACGGACAACAGTCAAAGAAGCAGATAAATGTAAAACTCCAGCCGGGATCGTGTGTTGAGAAGCCACGGTGGATGTTCGAAGAGGGTGGGTGTGTATGTAGCCTGGGCAAAGAGGCTAAGATGCCCTGTGAGCTAGAGCCGAAGCAAGGCTGGGAACACTTCACAGGTGGGGGCAGTGCTTTCTCCTGCCTCTGCGGCCTCTGAGGGCACATTGCCTCACTGGGCTGTGCAGGTCAGGTGAAAGAAGGGTGCAGGTTCTTTTGCAAACCAGAAAGTTCTATGTGGGTGCTAGGTGAGTATTATACTCTCACCCTTGCCCTTGCTCAGCAGAAGCTGCCAGAGACGGCTGATGGGATACCAGGTGTCCCACGTGGTTCCAAGGCTAATGGCTTGGTTTTTCTAGATCTTTCCGAGCCCAAAGCTTTAGCCGAAGTGCCCACGTGTCCCCTTTCTAGCTGGTGGAAGAGTAGCCCACTGGTGGGGAAATGTCCCCAGACGGACAGGCCAGCAGGGCCCTCATCCCCGAGCCTCCCATTCTCTTACCTCTCGGACGAACAGATGCTGCAGAAGCTTCGGGAGGATGAAACGCAGGCAGAAGAGCCGCTGGCGGAGCTCGACACCCTGGGACGCACGGACTGGGTAAGAGATGGCTCCGCTCCCGCCCTGGAGCGCCGGGCTTCGCCCCGCACCCCAGCGTCTGTGCCTGGAGGGCCGGGGAGCCCCGCTGCGCTAAGGGCCATCTTCGTCTTCCTGGGGCCCAGGCCCGACTGTGGGTCCAGCTCATGCGCGAGCTCCGCCACGGAGTGAAGCTCAGGAAGGTGCAGGAGCAAGAGTTCAACCCCCTGCCCACCGAGTTCCAGCTCACCCCCTTCGAGATGCTGATGCAGGACATCCGCGCCAGGAACTACAAGCTGCGCAAGGTCATGGTGAGCCGCCGGGGCTGCTGAGCGGGGCGCTTCAGTGTGCACAGGCAGACACGGCCCTTATTCCCGTGGCTCACTGGGCACAGTGTGACACCAGGGACACGGAGTGACAAAGGCTGGGGGAGAAGGGATGCGCGGGGGGCTCCAGAGGGCCCGCGGGAGCAGCTGAGACTGTGGGATTGTCCCATTGTATGCTTACACGGCCTTTGCCTGGTTCTGGCTTCGCTCGACACATTAAAAGAAAAATTTTTAATGTTTATTATTCATTTTTGAGAGAGAGAGAGAGTAAGCAGGGGAGGGGCAGAGAGAGGGAGACACAGAATCTGAAGCAGCTCCTGGCTCTGACTGTCAGCACAAGAGCCTGACGCAGGGCTTGAACCCACGAACCGTGAGATCATGACCTGAGCTGATGTCAGATGCTTAACCGATGGAGCCACCCAGGCACCTCAGTCAACAAATTTTGAACATGCAAGTTCATTTCAGTCTTCTGATGACCCTGTCTGGGGTGCCCCGGCCTTCATTCCCACATGAAGACTCTAACGTCTGGAAAGCTAGCGGTGGTGACACGGCTGCCCTGTACCTGCCACGCAGTCCCCGCCCACAGCCCCAGCCCCCGTGGGTGCCAAGCGCTTAGCCTTGGCTGCCTCCCCGTCCTCGCCGGCAGGTCGATGGAGACATCCCTCCCAGGGTGAAGAAGGATGCCCACGAGCTCATCTTGGACTTCATCCGCTCCCGGCCTCCACTGAAACAGGTACCAGCTGTGCGTGGCCTCCATTCTTGGCCTCCCCTCCCCCAGGGCAGAGCAGGGTCTCCACTGAGGGAGGCTGCTGGAAGGGTAGCCCTGAGGCGGACCTGCCCCACCCGCTCGCAGGGCACCTTCCGGCCGGCTTTGTGCTATGCCAGCCGCCAGGCCTGCAGTGTGTCCGTGTCACGGCCTTCCATCATGGAGCCACGCTCCCTCCAGGTCTCGGAGAGAAGGCTTCGCCCCTTACCCCCGGAGCAGAGGAGCCTGCATGAGAAGATCCTGGAGGAGATCAAGCAGGAGCGGAGGCTGCGCCCGGTGGGGGCTCGGCGCTGGTGTGGCCGGGGTGAGCATGGGACCCCTCCCTCCCGCCCCCCCCCTGCCCCCTCACTGTCCTGCCCTGCCCCACCTCCCTGCCTCCCCCAGGGTTTGGCTCTCTGCCCTGCATCCTCGACGCGTGTTCTGGGGACGCCAAGTCCACCTCCTGCATCGACCTGTCCGTCACGGATGCCGGGAACAGCACCCTACGCCCACGGCCCCGGGTCCTGCTCAAGGCGCCCACCTTGGCTGAAATGGAGGAGATGAACACGTCTGAGGTCAGAGCCCACAGATTCCTGGAAAGAGACCAGGGAGGAGGAGGAGGAGGGGCCGGTGAGGAGGGCTGAGCGCAGCACTCTGCTTCGGAGCTGGCGTCCTGTGGGGCCGGGCTGTCCCCGGAGCAGACTTGGGGGGACTTGGGAGCACTCCCCCGTCTGGTAGCTGTGACGGGAAGGGGGCCTCGGGCCACCTATTCCCACAGTGCAAAAAGGGCTGGAATGGGCACGTGTCATCGTCCAGGAGCTGGGAAGCTGAGCAGCCCCCTGGCTGATGTGAAAAGCCAGTGAGTCTCGCTGTGGCTGTCCCTGTCCCCGCACTGCCGCTCGGCTTAGGGAGACCTAGGGCAGCAGCTCTCCTGGTGGCCGCACCTGTCGTCACACCTGTCACCTCAGCACTTCCTCAGGGAAGGGTTTGGGTTTTGAGGTACTTGCCTTCCACTGTCCTAGAGGGGAGTCAGGCTGGGCAGCGAGGAGAGGGTGGCCCCATGGCCTCAGTGGGTCCAGCAGCAGCCCGGGTCCTGAGCCTCAGTCCAGGGACAGGCAGGAGCGCTGGTGGTCAGGGCTGGCTCTGGTGTGTCCACAGGAGGAAGAGTCTCCGTGTGGGGAGGTGCCACTGAAGCGGGACCGCTCTTTCTCGGAGCATGACCTGGTCCAGCTCCGGAGCGAAGTGTCCTCTGGCCTGCAGCCAGGCCCTCAGCCCCAAGGAGGGTCGGAACCGTCCCGGCCCCGCACGGGCAGCATGCACGCCTGGAGGCCAAGCACCCAGGAGCAGGGCAAGTGGTGCCTCTCGCCCCCTTCCCCCTTGACTCCGCCCTGTGGGCACCGTGTCCTGACCTGGTCCCATTGTCTCTGTGGGCAGGCAGCATCCGGAAGGTATAGGGAGCTCGTACCTGCAAGAAGGGCATTTAAAGTTCAAGCCCAGAATTACCTCGTTGCGTCAGGCAGGCATCCCCCACTTTCTTGACTTGAAAACTTTCTTATTAAGTTAGCGATCCACGTTGATAATAAGAACACTTTTTAAAAAACTGTAACACATTCCCCTAATTCTAATACTTCGGGATCGTTACTAATAATATATTGGTGTATGAAAAGAAAACTGGACGAATGGAGGATGGATGGATAGGTAGATACTTGGATGGATGGATGGACGGATGGATGATGGTTGGATGGATAATGAGTGGATGGTGGGTGGGTGATGGATACGTAGATGATGGGTGGGTGGATGGATGGATAGACAAATAGCTAGATGGAGAGATAGATGACTGGCAGATCCTTCTAGTCTCTTTTTTTCCGATCGGGGAAAACTTGTCCTCAATGAACCAGACGGGCCATACCACACACGCCACTCTAGACCTGACCTGTCACTTTCTTTCCCTGTTGTTCAGCACAAAGGACAGAAAAATTCTGCTGGCCACACAGGGTTGGTTCGTCCCACGGCTGTCGGGGCCGTGCGCCACTGCTTCCCAGCACCCGGGCCCAGGCCGCCGTCTGTGCTCTCAGGGCTGCCTGGAGCCGCCCCGTTGTTCTCTTGGCAGTCTCAAGGTGGTCCAGTTTGGTAGCTGATTCACTTTCTGGAGTGAAGGGGGCCAGGCCAGGCCAATTCTGTACCCCACTGTCCCCCCACAACTATGCTGAAGACTCAGAGCTGCCTCTGTCTACCTCCTCCGTCCCTCTGCAGGAGGCGCGGTGGGCGCACTGGCGAGGTCTTCCCGCATGACCGGTGCCATCTGCTTTCACTTTTGGCTGCCACGTGGCTCCCGATGTTGAGTCATTAACCGGGATAGGATATGGGCCCCACAGGTGTCCCTTGGGCCTGCCACACTGACGTGCCCCTCGTGTGGCTGACACGCTCTCTACGTGACCTTCTGCCTGACTACTGCCCCCGCGGTCCCCTTCTGCCTGACCAGCCCTCCCCAACCCCCCGGGCACGGCCGCCCACGCCTGGCTGTCCTGACCTGCCTCCCTGCTCCTACCCCTAGGTCCCGTCCCTTTGAGCACCCGGGCCCAGCCTGACCCCAGCTCTCTGCCACACAGTGACCTGGGCTCCGCAGAGGACCGGCCAGAGGCTTCTGCAGCCCCAGACGCCAATCACCTGTGGCTGGTGAGTGAGGGAGACATTGTTGTCGGGGTGCTGGGTGGGGCGCCTCTCCCCTGCACCCGGCCGCAGGGGTGGGGCAGCGCCCTCAGTGGGTGTGGCCAGGTGGGCTCCGGAGCCACCAGATCTGAGGTGGGCCTTTGCTGCCCCCTTCTGGGACTTCTGGGCACTGCAGCCCCGAGGCCATAAAAAGGACCTTGCTGAGGGGACCGGGGACGGGTGAAGTTCTTCCTGAGTGTGGGGTTAGGACAGAGGAGAAACGGAGTTTCGTGCCTGGAGGCGTGACCTGTGACGGAGCACTTCTTAGGGTCCTGACTGCACTACAGCCTCAGCCTCTCCCTCGGGGCTTCCTCAGCTGTGAGTTCTGTCTGACTTGTGATTGTGAGGAGCTGCTGCAGCTCCCCGCCCCCAGCCTTGGCCTGAGCCTTGGTGTATGATTTTATCCAAGGGACGACAGGGGTGAAGTGCCTGGTGAACACAGGGTGTCCAGAGGCCCATGTTGTCGCCATCATTTCCTTGACGTTTTGTCAAGAGGGTTAAATGAGAACAGATGTTAAAATTGCTTTGAAAAGCGCCATCACCTGTAAGGTAGTGTTACTACTGATACTCCCCAACTGCGTTCTGTATCATCTATTGCTGCCTAACAACAAACACTTACCTCGCACAACTTCTGAGGGTTAGAAATCAAGAAGTAGCTCAGCTGGACGGCCTGGCTCAGAGCCTCCCTGCAGGATGCACTTGGAATGTGGCTCCGCACGTGGCTGGTGCCGGCAGGCCGACGTTCCCCGGCACGTGGACCTCTCCATAGAGCCCTTGGGTGTCCTCACAACGTGGCGGTTGGCTTCCCCCAGAGCTGGCGGTCTGAGAAACAGCAAGGCAGAAGCCCAAGTCTCAGAACTGACTCGTTGTTATTTCCGGCTTACTCTGTTCATTACAAGTGAGTCACTAAGTGCATCCTCAGGGGAGGGGAGTTAAGGCCTACTTTTGTTTACTTTTTTGTGTGAGGAATAAGAACCAGGGTTTTTACTTGCTCATTTCTTGCATTTGAAGTATTCCCCGACGACCCCCTTGGCCTGAGACTCGTTGCCATTGTCCTTAACCGCCACACACTGCAGCCACTGTACGGGGCTTTCCTGTCAGTTTTACAGAGGCCGACCCAGGCCCCTCGCTTCTTGCCGTAATTAGCTCGCCTTAGTGTCCAGCACAAAGCGCCTCCACCACATCGACAGGCACTCAGAGATGCACTTTGGTGACTCCTCAAATTCCACTTGCTAGGCCATCGTGGAGGAGGGGGGTCGTTAGCCCCTCTCGGAGAGCAGTGATGCCTTCCTCAGACATGGTAGTGCCTTATGGGTGGAGCTGAATCTTGAGTGCACTTGAGCCTCTGCTTGACGTAGGGGCGCCAGGGAAGGAGGAAGGCCCACTTCTCGAAGGGAAGTCAAGGAACTGGGTGACATGTATATATTCCTTTAATTACGTTTTCAGGGTGGAGTGGGATATTTTAAACGCCAAGTCCCGTAAGTATATTCTTTTTTTTTTTTCTTTTAAAGTTTATTTCTTTATTTTGAGAGAGAGATCACAAGTGGGTGAAGGGGAGAAAGAGAGATGGAGAGGGAATCCCAAGCTGGCTCCACGCTGCCAGCATGGAGCCCAACATGGGGCTTGAACCCAGGAACCGTGAGATCATGACCCGAGCCAAAATCAAGAGTTGGACATTTAACTAACTGAGCCACCAAGGTACCCCCATAAGTGTACTCTTACTTAAAAAAAAATTTTTTTTTTGAGAGAGAGTGCACGAGGGAGGAACAGAGAGAGAGGGGGATAGACAGAGGGAGAAGAGGATCCAAAGTGGGCTCCCTGTTGACAGCAGAGCCTGATGCAGGGCTCAGACTCACGAACCGTGAGATCCTGGCCTAAGCCAAAGTCAGACGCTTAATTGACTGAGCCACTCAGGTGCTCCCATAGGTGTATTCTTAGCACACATCTCAAGAGCACTTTCCGAGAGACATCACATAACCTCAGCATCCGTCTCTGCCCTGAACGTGCACTCACAGCCAATCTGCTGAGCAACTTGCTGGTCTCTGCTCCCAGCACGAGATTTCTCAGCCACCTGGCACCTGTCAGGCTTAGAGCGAGTTATTGCAACATAAACAGCACCATTAGGTTATTGGAAACAGAAATCAGAAACCAGAGGCCCTGATGCTTCAGGCCGGAGTGAGAACGTGGGGTTCGACTCTCCCCCGGTGCCGGACTGGAGCATGTGTTCACCAACCCTAAATGGGCTAACCCACTGGCAACGTGAAACAATCAAAACACGCATCCCAACTTCCTTGTTTGTGGCACCCTCGTGGGCTGCTGGCCCTCACGGTGCCTCATCCCAGTAGCTAATAATTTGGGGTGCCAGGCCTTGAGCTAAGGGCTTTATGTGTTATCTCGATGAAGCTGGACTACAGCCCCACTTTACAGGAGAGGAACTGAGGAGTCTCTCCGGAGGGTGGCAGAATAAGGCACAGTCACCGTAGTGGCCCGAGGGGTAGGTGGCTGTAGCAGGTAGGACACACCACCTACAGATGGGAGACTCGGAGCGCCGGCGGTTGGTGAGCGGCATGCAGGAGGCACCTGGGGCCTTCAGGTGCCAGAGGAGAGAGAGCTCGTGGTGAAGGGGTTCGAGAGGACAGGAGGTGGGCCTGGGGACCCCGGGTGGTTGTGACTGGCTGCAGGGTGTGTTTGCAGGCGGGAGGCAGATGTTTCCAGTCTGGAGAGTACTGTGAACAGAAGTGGGGATGGCTGACTAAAGGGGATGTGGCCATCAGTGGGCTGGGTGTGGGCCAGGTCACAGGAAGCCTCCCCCGCAGGCGCAGGACCCCATCAGAGAAGTCATGAATAGCATGCGTGGGTCCCAGGAGCAGAGAAGCTGAAGAATGGGGTTTTAGGAAGTTGCTAGGTTTGGGTAGACTGAGACCCGGAAGATTCCAGAGTCCTCAGAGAAGAGAGAACCTTATGGACAGACTCCTGAAAGGCCTCATCCCTGAAGGCCTGAGGAGCACTGACCCCTTGACTTTTTGATCCCTAGGAGTTCAGCCACCCCGTGGAGAGCCTTGCTCTGACCGTGGAGGAGGTGATGGACGTGCGCCGGGTGCTGGTGAAGGCTGAGATGGAGAAGTTCCTACAGAACAAGGAGCTCGTCAGCAGTCTAAGGAAGGGGAAGGTGAGGGGGCCTGGACCCGGCTGCTCCCTCAGGAGGCGGGAGCCCTGGGCTGAGGGCGGGCCAGGCAGCCGGACCTTGGATTGCTCGCTCACCAGGCAGGACTGACGAATTCGGGCCTCTCTTACAGATTTGCTGCTGTTGCCGAACCAAGTTCCCGCTGTTCTCCTGGCCGCCCACCTGTCTCTTTTGCAAGAGGTGAGCCCGCGTAAGCACCCTGGCTGTGAATGACACGGGAGGAGGCGGCGAGGGTTCCCAAGCCAGCACCGTCCGGCAGAATTTTCTGTTACTGTGGCGATGCCTTTTCATGCGCCACGGCTAGTATAGCCGCTGAACCTTAATTTTTAATTTAACTTTAATAGCTAAGGGGCTTCCACTTTCAGCCCAGGTAGGGTCACAGAACAGGCATCTGCCACCGGAAACAAACAAAATACCCATAAAAAGCAGAAACAAACAAAAACCCCAGAGAACAGGAAACAATGGTTTTCAAGATACTGAATATCAGGCAACAGCAGGAGGCTGTGATGGCCTCAACTGCCTGGAGGTTCTAGGTCATGGCCCAGAGGCCGCTCAGCTCCTTGAGTGGAGGAGGTGAAGCTGAGAACCCAGAGAGACCAAGGCAGCTGGAGGTGTCTGTGCAGATTCCCAGCAGGGAGAGAGCTGTCCCCAGGGCGAGCCTCAGGCCTGTAGGCGCTCTCCCCGCAGTAGTCAGTGGCGGACTGATCAGCACATGCAGGCAAGGAAGCTACTGAAGGCTGGGAAAGAATCACCCTGAAGCAGGGACTGGCAGACTCCAGCCCACAGGCCAAATCTGGCCTGCTACCTGCTTTAGAAATAAAGTTTTATTGGAGCAAAGCCACACCCATTTGTTTGTTATTCACTGAGCCATATAAAAAATGTTTACTATCTGACCCTTTACAGAAAAGTGTATTGACCCTAAAGTGCTAAAGCTTTGAAGGAATAGTCCTAGGAATAGTGTGTATTCCCACCAGCCATGGTGGAAGTGTTGTAATTCATGGGCCACTGAAGGTCCTGTCCCACTAGTAGGGAATAAATACCCCCAGACTGACCATTTTTCCAGATCTAAAAATTCCAAAAAGCAAGACCTGGAAATAGTTTGGAAAGGACCCAGCTATTCCCGAGTATCTTATCCAGCACTCAGCAAGATAAAATGTCTAGCATCCAATCAAAGATTACCAGGCATGTCAAGAAACAAGAAAACACGACCCACGATAGAAAAATCAATCAAAATCACCCAGAACTGGGGCACCTGGGTGGCTCAGTCGGTGACTCTTGATTTCGGCTCAGGTCATGATCTCATGGTTTATGGGATCAAGCCCTGCACTGGGCTCCATGCTGAGCGTGGAGCCGACATGGGATTCTCCATCTCCCCCTCTGCCCCTCCCTTCCCTGCTCTTGCGCATGTATGTGCTCACTCTCTCTCACTATTAAAAAAAAAAAAAAAAAAAAAAAAAGGGGCGCCCGGGTGGCGTAGTCGGTTAAGCGTCCGACTTTCGCTCGGGTCATGATCTCGCGGTTCGTGGGTTCGAGCCCCGCGTCGGGCTCTGTGCTGACTGCCAGCTCAGAGCCTGGAGCCTGTTTCAGTCTGTGACTCCCTCTCTCTCTGACCCTCCCCTGCTCACGCTGTCTCTCTCTCTCTCCTAGAAATAAATAAAACATTTAAAAAAAAAAAAAAAAAAAGACACCCAGAATTGACACAGACATTCGAATTAGCAGATAAGAAGGACATTAAAAGTTTTGAACTGTTTCATATGTTCAAGAAGTTAGAGGCATGAAAGATAACAAGACACAAAGTTCTAGACCTGAAAACTAGACTGTTTGGATGCATGTATGGAATTACACTGGAGGAGATTAATAGCAGATTGAACATTCAGGAGAATGTGCAGAAGAAAAAATTAGTGAACTCAAAGACCAAGCAATAGAAACCAGCTGAAATGAAAACACTGAGAGAAAAACATTATTTTTTTTAGAATTTTAAAAAAGTTTTACTTATTTAAGTAATCTCTACACCCAACATAGGGCTCAAACTCACAACCTCAAGATCAAGAGTCCCATCCTTTAACGCCTGACCAAGCTAGATGCTCCAGAGAAAAAGTAATTTAAAAAATAAAAATGGTCTCAGTGAACTGTGGGTTAGTGTTGAGCCTAATATAGATGTAATTAAAGTCCCCAAAGGAGAAGGGGGAGGACAGAAAAAATATTTGAAGATATAATAGGTTAAAATTTTTTTCAAATTTGATAATATAAACCTACTAGAAACTTAATCCCAAGCACAAGAAACATGAATTAAATCACACCAAGGCACATAGTAATCAAATTAATCAAAACCAGTAATAAAGAGAAATTCTTTTTTTTTTTTTTAATATTTTTATTTACTTCTAGGAGAGAGACAGCGTGACCAGGGGAGGGTCAGAGAGAGAGGGAGTCACAGACCGAAACAGGCTCCAGGCTCTGAGCTGGCAGTCGGCACAGAGCCCGACGCGGGGCTCGAACCCACGAGCCGTGAGATCATGACCTAAGCGAAAGTCGGACGCTTAGCCGACTAAGCCACCCCGGCGCCCCAAAGAGAAATTCTTAAATCAGCTAGCAAAGAAAGACTTCTCACTGAAATAATGTGAGCAAGAGGACAGTAAAACAGCATTTCTGATGGACTGAAAAACTGTCGATCTAGAGCCCTATACCAAGAAAAAATATGCTTCAAAAACAAAGACACAGGGTTCCTGAGTCGTTCAGGCGGTTGAGTGTCTGACTCTTGATTTCAGCTCAGGTTGTGAGCCCAGCACAGGCCTCCATGCTCAGCGTGGAGCCTGACTGAGATTCTCTCTCGCTCTGCTTCTCTCCCCAGCACACACGCTCTCACTCTCAAAATAAAACAGGGGTGCCTGGGTGGCTCAGTCGACTGGGCATCTGATTTCAGCTCAGGTGATGATCTCATAGTTCCTGGGTTCGAGCCCCGTGTCAGGCTCTGTGCTGACGGCTCAGAGCCTGGAGCTGCTTCAGAGTCTGTGTCTCCCTCTCTTGGCCCCTCCCTTGCTCGCACTCTCAAAAATAAATAAACTTAAAAAAATAATAAAACAAATGAACAAACAAAGACACAAATAAAAACATACGCAGAAATACAAAAAAAAAAAAAGAATTCCTTACTAGTAGACCCACACTGAAATGTTCAATGAGGTCCTTCACATAGAAGGAAAATGACACAAACGGAAAGATGGAGAGCACCAGAAACAGCAAGTACTAAGACAACATATGAGATTATTTTGTTATAACTCTTTACAAAGTAAATAACATCCAGCACCCAACAGGATGAATGAAATTCAGTGCCTGGTATCCAATCAGCGATTAGCAGGCATGCCAAAAAGTTAACAGCAATGGGGCGCCTGGGTGGCTCAGTCGGTTGAGCGTCCGACCGGCTCAGGTCATGATCTCGCGGTTCGTGGGTTCGAGCCCCGCGTCGGGCTCTGTGCTGAATGCCAGCTCGGAGCCTGGAGCCTGTTTCAGTCTGTGACTCCCTCTCTCTCTCTGACCCTCCCCTGGTCACGCTGTCTCTCTCTCTCCTAGAAATAAATAAAAAATATTAAAAAAAAAGCTAACAGCAATGTACTGAAGCGTTTGTAACGTATCTATAAGAAGTATCCGAACCATAGCATTAAGGCCGATGAGAAGTACGCTAGAGGAGACTTCTTGTACTCTACGTGAAGTGGCAAGGTGTTATTTGAAGGTATAGTTAAGGAGTGTAGTAAAAGTCTGAAAGCAACCACTAAAACAATAAAACATAGGAATAGGGTGGAATCATAAAAATAGCCGATTAACACAGGAGGCAGAAAAGGAAAAGGGGACAAGGAACAAACAGGGCGAAAAGAAACCAAACAGCAAAACAGCCCTGAATCCCAAGGTGTCATAGCTCCCGTAGCTGTGAGAGGTCTAAACAACTGGGCTCCCAGGCCGTCTTCCAGATCGAGTGAAGGAAGCAGGCCGTGTGCTGCCTGGAAGGCGTGCACTTGGTGTATGTATGTATGTACTTACTTGCAGGTGAGTGAGGGGCAGAGACAGTCTGAGGAGGGGCAGAGGGCAGGGTGGCGAGGGAGGGAGGGAGAGAGAAGCAGGGCTCCCCCAAAGCAAAGCTTATGTTGTTGTTTTGTTGTTTTTTTTTTAATTTTTTAATGTTTTATGTATTTCTAAGAGAGAGAGACAGTGTGAGCAGGGGAGGGTCAGAGAGAGAGGGAGTCACAGACTCTGAAACAGGCTCCAGGCCCTGAGCTGGCAGTCAGCACAGAACCCGACACGGGGCTCGAACCCACGAACCATGAGACCATGACCTGAGCCAAAGTCGGATGCTTAACCAACTGAGCCACCCAGGCGCCCTGCAAAGCTTATGTTTTACCCGAAGTGGGGCTCAAGCTCTCCTGATGTGGGACTCGAACTCACAAACTGTGAGATCATGACCTGAGCCAAAGTCAGATGCTTAATGACTGAGCCACCCAGGCACCCAAGACATGTACTTTCGTTTTATTTATTTAAAAATTTTTAAATGTTTGTTTATTTTTGAGAGACAGAGTGTGAGCGGGGGAGTGGCAGAGAGAGAGGGAGACACAGAATCTGAAGCAGCTCCAGGCCCTGAGCTGTCAGCACAGAGCGATGCGGGCCTTGAAGCCACAGACTGTGAGCTCGTGACCTGAGCCAAAGTTGGTTGCTTAACTGACCGAGCCACCCAGGCACCCCTATAACATGTACTTCAAGTAAAAAGACAAAAGTTGGTTAGGAGAAAAATGGAGAAAGACATGCCATGCCAACACTAGTCAAAAGAAAGAGGATATATTAATATTAAAGTAGACTGACCGCAAGGAACATTACTGGAGATACAAGAATCCCTTTCGTAACGACAGAGGGAGGAAAAAACACTTCTGAACATTTCCTAGATCTAACACAGAGATTCAAAATATGTGAAGTAAAAATCTGATGAAGTTGCAAGGCAAAACACATAAATCCACTTATAATTAGAGATTTCAATAGTCTTCTCTCAATAATTGGTAGAACTTGTAAACAGAAAAAAACCTAAGGATATAGAAGATTTGAACGACACTGTCAGCCTCTTAACCTGAGGTCTGTAGAGCGCCCCACCGACCGCAGCATTCCTCTCCCGTGCACATGGGACGTTTACCAAAGTAGACCATTTTCTGGGTCATAAGACAAGTCTGCAAATGTGGAAGGATTCAAGTCACGGAAAGTTAGTTCCCTGACTGCAGTGAAATAAAATACAGTTAACCTCGATTTTTCTCGATGACAAAACCATTTTCAAACATCCATGCGAGAGAACGTGGTCGGTCCCTTGCTTTAAAAATGAATTTGGACCACTTGTCCTAACGTGGAGAAGAGCCCCTGATGGATCTTTACAGAACAGTATGCGTAATATCCCAATGCATTAATTTTGGTTTTATTTTTAAATGTGTATCTTTGTCCCTCACACTTAGATCTAGAGAAGGGCCAACCCTGCAGCAGGGTGTGCCGCTGAGGACGGGCTTACCGTCCCGTACGGCTCTCTCTAGTGTCGCAACTCGTACGAGAAGGTATTTGTGTGTTAAGTCAGCCGTGGGGCGTGAACAGATGCCAATCACCGCGGAGACTGAGCGGCTCCCCTACGGTCCCTCCGGTTCAGATGGTGCTTCGGGGGCAGGAAGCGTTAGGCACGTGCGAGCGCAGAGGGCATGAAAAAGCTCCAGACCAAAATATTTCAGAGGAGACGCTAGCTGTGAGGGGCAGCGGTATTTTGGATGTAGAGCTAAGTAAAAAGAAAAGCAAGATTTGGGGGGTAAAATGAGTAAGACGCCCAAGTAACGGGTCTAGCAGAGGGTAAGGCAGTTGGGCCCGGCGGGATGGTCTCTCTGTGGCTTCCTCACTGCTCACCCTGCTTCCCTCTTCTTTCCCGCCAGGGCTGTCTGCACTTCCTGTAGCATAAAGGTGAGGATCATCCGGGGTCTGAGCGAGGCCCCCCAGTACCTGAGGTGTCCTGTGGCTGACTTGGCCTGTCATAAGTCGAGGAGGGCAGAGCCAGGGGATAGAGGGTCTGCTGTCTCCTGTCGGCGGGTCACACATGCACCAGCCACTTCTTCTATCTCCCTCCACACAAAACCCATCCCTACAGTTTCCAAGACTAGTTTTTTAAAGACCCTTGTAGGTGGTCTTTTTTTTTTTTTTTTAACATTCCATATTAGCAGGCTACTGCCAAGAAAAACTCTTCACTTCTCTAAGACTCCCACTTTAAAAAAAAACATTTTTTTTAATGTTTTATTTATTTCTGAGAGAGAGAGAGAGAGAGAGAGAGACAGCGTGAGCAGGGGAGGGTCAGAGAGGGAGGGAGACACAGAATCTGAAGCAGACTCCAGGCTCTGAGCTGGCTTTCAGCACAGAGCCCGACGTGGGGCGCGAACCCACGAGCCGTGAGATCATGACCTGAGCCCAAGTCGGACGCTTAACTGACTGAGCCACCCAGGCGCCCCCCACCCCAAGAAATTTTTTTGATGTTTATTTATTTTTGAGAGACGGACAGAGTACAAGTGGGAGAGAGGCAGAGAGCGAGGGAGACACAGAATCTGTAGCAGCTCCAGGCTCTGAGCTGTCAGCACAGAGCCCGATGTGGGGCTTGAACTCAAGAACTGAGAAATCATGACCTGAGCTGAAGTCGGACGCCTAACTGAGCTACCCAGGCGGCCCAGGACTCCTACCTTCTGCCACTACATCTTCCCTGAGTGTTTCTGGAAAGGCTTCATAGCCGTCAAGGCGCGTCTGCATACACGCAGGTGTGCACACATAGAAGGGTAATGACACTTAGAACTCTGTCACCCCGTTACGCCTCAGCCTAGAAACAACGGCCTGCTGGAAAAGCCACCACTGTCCCCAAACGCTCTGTGTTCTGCCCTTTCACCGCTGAGAACCCTCAGCTCGTCATACCACGTATTTACTGTGCACAGGGCGCGCCGGGGGTCCCGTACGGTATGGCCGTCTGGATGAGCGGAGTGTGCTCGGGCGTGGGTACCGAGCAGGAGACACATGCCTTCAGATGGCAGGCATGGAGTGTGCGTCCAGAGAGCGCACACAGGGCAGGTGGTGACCTCCAGACACTCCCCTGCCGCCACCCAGGCCCAGAGCAGGCAGCTGTGTGCGCACCCGCCTGCCCCGACTGTCTCTCTTGGGTTGCCTTGCCCAGTCTCCCTCTGTGTGTTGTAGATGAAGATGCCTTCTAAGAAGTTTGCACACATTCCTGTCTACACGCTGGGCTTTGAGAGTCCTCGGAGGGTGTCAACTACCAAAACTACACCGACCCAGAGAAGAGATGCCTTCCAGTGCGTTCCTTTGCCCTTTGCTGACGTCAGTGGCCAGGCGTTGACAGTAGTACAGGAGCCGGGGTGGCTGGGGTGGCTGGGGTGGTTAGCGGGGACACTCCCAGGACACAGAAATCCAAGGTGGAAACTGAACCAGGTGGTCAGATCCTCTTGAGGAAGAGCTTTGTGGGGCGGGGGGGAGAGCATGTGTGTGGGGAGGCTGTGGACATGGACAAAGAAACCGGAGACTCCCCTGATGGCTCCATCCTCTGCTCCAGGTCCCTGCAGGGGCCCCAGTGGCCGAGTGTGGAGGAGGCGTTCCCGCACATCTACACCCACGGCTGTGTCCTCAAGGACGTCTGCAGCGACTGTACCAGCTTCGTGGCAGATGTGGTGCGCTCCAGCCGCAAGAGCGTGGACGCTCTCAACACCACGCCCCGCCGCACCCGCCAGACCCAGTCCCTGTACATTCCTAACACCTGGACGCTCAACTTCAAGTGATGGCCCTCCGCCTCCCCAGGACACCTAGCCAGCGGCTTTTCGAGGCGGCCAGACCTCTGAGGAGGAGCCAGGCTAGTCCTGGACGTGGCCTAGAAACTCCCTATCCTGAGGTGCAGCTGCCGGCCTGCCTCCTAAGTGTGCATGTACATATATACATATATAGATACATTTATATGATATATACACACAGCCTATATATTTATATACATCTGTCCTGGCCCTAGAGTTTATTTGGGGTCAGGCTCACTCCAGGACCCTCCCTGGGGGAGGCTGTTTCCTTTTGGGAGTCGGGTGGGATAGGGCACGGGATGGGAGTGCGGTTTCTCACTTGGGAAGCAGGGCAGGCTGGAGATACGACAGTGGATTCCAGATGATGGGGCTCTGGGAAGACCCCCACCCCGTTTTTGTTCTTTTCTCCATCCCAAGGATGAGAACACAGCAGTGTCCCCTTCCTGGGTAGCTGTCCAGGTTGGGACAGGTCACTTGGTTCCCAGGCACACGGGAGCATCCTGCTGGCCTCTGCCCTCTGGGCAGACACCTGGGCAGCAGAGGCCACTGGGGAAGACGGTGATCTTCTCCTGGCGGGCGTCACACCCTTCCAGTTGGAAGGCCCAAGGCCTAGCTCACTCGTTCCCTGCCCAGCATCCACGCTCCAGCCAGTACACCACCTGCCTGGTGTTGCCATCCTCACTGACTCAGAGGTCCAGAGATGGTGCTGGGTCCAGGGCCCTGGTGACGCCGGGGTCCTGGCACAGGGAGGAACTCTGTAAATTTGTACACGTGGTCACTCCTGGCCTAATAAAGGTGATCTCGGAGTCTTCTGTCTGGGGTGTGGAGTGAGGACTGTCGAGCCACAGTGGTGGGCACATTCTCCTAGGGCAGAAGCTGGGCTCTGAGGGGCCACTTGGGCACACGCGAGCATCTCAGCATGCCCATCATGAGATGAGGGTGCTCAGGCCCACTCCAGTCTATGACGCCCAGCTTCACGATCTGGCCATCTTGGTCCTGTGGCCAGCAGGCCTGCATACAGCTCATCCTGATGCCCGTAACCCACCAGCCGGAGGGACTCTTTGGCCTCACCCACAGATCGTTCTTCTTGTTCTCTGGGCATTTGATTTCTTTAGGGTTTTCACCTAGGCTTTCTGCCTGCCACGTGCACCTGGGAGGTGGCTTCTGTCATCATCCTACCTTCCAGGTAAGGAAACCAAGGCTCCGGAGGGGGGAAGGAATTTGGCCAAAGATACACAGCTCCCCTGGGACCTCCATTCAGGCCTATCAAAGGCCAGGCTCTAACATCTGCCACATTGATGGGCCCACAGGAGGCCCCGAGGCACAGGACTTGTGACAGGTGGGCCTACGGGGGAGGGTACTTCATCAGCTGGGGTCCAGGACATTCAATGACACCAAATTACAACAGCCAGTAAAAACAGCCAGCTCTCACACTGGTTCTGGGTACTTCATGGGCAGGGAGTATTATTAGGCACAGAGAGGGTAAAGAATTGCCCGTGGTTCACACAGCCAGCAATGTGGAAGCTAGCATTTGTGCAGCACCCTGTCCGTGGGCAGGTGTTTCTGGGAGGTGACCACCATCCTCACTGTTCTAATTCCACAGGGAGGAAACGGGCCAGGCGACAGTGCAGGCCCACATTCCCAGTAGGGGACACCAGATTTCTAACCTATACAGGAATATTTGGAAATAAAAACCCGGACTGGGACGGCAGGACTGAGCTGCAAGCTTGAAGGTGAGTCAGATTGGAGCGAGTGCAGGGCTTGCCACCTGCGAACACTGCAGCCCACGAGCCACGCCCGGTCTCTGTCCTCACCTCAGATTGGGACAAACACAGGTCACTTTCTCTAGAACTGTTTGCAACCAAATTCCTTACTGAGGACCTCGCCTTTGGGAGCACAGGGAGAAACTTAAATTCAGGGAGCGCACCATTCAAGTTGGGCCTCATGTTGCCATCTCATTGTCACATGGCTGCACTCTTGTGGAAAGCAAAGGAGAAAGCACCTCCAGGCTGAGACTCCCTAAATTTCCATCCACACGTGAGGCAAAAACCTGTATAAATTGGTTACGTCACTTTAGGGGTGACACAAAATCTATTTAACAACTAGCCTGGCCCTGGACAATCAGGATGGACAAGAGTGGTGGTCTGGAGGGTTCCACCTAGGTTGAACATAACCTTTAAATGGTGGGATTTTGGGGGGCGCCTGGGTGGCTTAGTCGGTTAAGCGTCCGACTTTCGCTTGGGTCATGATCTCGCGGTTCGTGGGTTCGAGCCCCGCATCGGGCTCTGTGCTGACTGCCAGCTCAGAGCGTGGAGCCTGTTTCAGAGTCTGTGACTCCCTCTCTCTCTGACCCTCCCCTGCTCACGCTGTCTCTCTCTCTCTAAAAAAAAAAAAAAAAAAAAAAAAATGGTGGGATTTTGGGAGGTAATGATGGGAGGTAGGGAGGGTAAATTCCAGGGATCTCCAGGGGAGTGGATGGAGGAGGTGGGCATGTGGGGGAGCGAGACAGCAGCTAAGTGCCATCCAATGTGAAGCAACGCAAGATCCCGATGAACAGTACAGGCTGGCGGAGCAGCCGCACACCTGTGTGTACGCTGTCTCCCTCGGTCCCCGGAGACTCCATTCCTAGTCTGAAAGAGGTAACACGCAGTCTTAGGAGCGAGGCGGGTTGGGTGAAGCTCACCCGTCAAGGGAGAGGGATCTGAGAGGGCATCACCCATCCTGTTCCCGCTTCCCTTCCTTGGTCCTTGCCAGTGGCCTTCCTCATTTGAACTCTAGACCCACAAACCTGCAGCAAATCCAGGTTCTACCTGGGCCAGCTGCTCCACGAATCCCAGTTTCCTTACGTCTAAAAGGTGGGGATACCCTCCTCCCAGGATGTAAGAATTTAGTGCAATGCCATCCGCATACTCCAGGCTGCCCTGTTTCCTAACACATACGGTCCGTCTTGCTCCCCCTGCATTAGAATTTCAGGGGTTCTCAATCTTGCCTGCACACTTTAATCCCCTGAAGAGCCTTTAAAAAATAGCAAGCCAGGGTAGCCTGGGTGGCTGTTGGTTAACCTGTCTGACTTCAGCTCAGGTCATGATCTCTCAGTCCTGGGTGAGGGCTGTGCTGGCAGCTCGGAGCTTCCATGGAGCTGCTTCAGATTCTGCGTCTTCCTCTCTCGTGGCCCCTCCCCTGCGCGCTCTCAAAAATAAACATTAAAACCCTTTTTTTTTTTTTTTAAATCAGTGCCTGAAGCCATATCGGAATTTCCAGGGCTGTGTCCCTGATCTTTATTGCAAAAAACTCCCCAGGAGATTATGCAACAAAGTAAGGGTGGCCAGCCTCCACCTTAAACCACCGATTCCCACACGTGAACAGAATTACCTGGGACGCATTAACCACCACAAAGAGCAAACTCCCAGGACCACCCCTAAGATTCGGTTCCGTCTATCCCGAGAAAGGGGAGGTCTAGAAGTCCGCAGCTTTGGGAAGCTCCTCGCTTTGGATTGCTTACTTTTAACAAGGGGGAAAATGCGCCACCTGCAGCCGCGGAGGCAGACGGAGAGGAGTCGCGTGCCCAGCGGGCACTGGGGCCCTCCCGGCCCGCCGGCCGCCGCCGGGTCCTCGCCACGGCGGGACTACTCGCGGCAACACGCCCGCCGGCGCGCCCCCGCCTCGCCCAGCCCCGCCCGCGGGTCCCTCCCGCCCAGCCAGCCCGCGGCCGGAGAGCAAGGCCTCGGTCCCCGCGTGCCCCGCGTCCGGCCCGACCCCTGTCCCGGGCACGCCTCCGGAAGACCCGGGGACACCAGGCACCGCCGAGGCCGGGCCTGACGCGCGGAGGCGCCCAACTCGCGCGAGAACTCGCCGGGACGTGCCCGCGCTTTCTTAGACGCCACTGTTGACGGAGAGGAAGTTCCGGAGAGCCGCAGTACGCAGACGCGGTAGCTCGGGCTCGCGCCAGCGCGCCGTCAGTGCGCAGGCGCGCCAGCCGGTTTCTTTTCTGCTCTTCCTTCTCCCGGTCTCCAGACGTCAGAGGCCGTTGGGTCCTATGTCGCGCCGGGCCCTCCGGAGGCTGAGGGGGGAACAGCGCGGCCAGGAGCCCCTCGGGCCCGGTGCCCTGCAGTTTGCCCTCCATGATGACGATGATGCGGAAGAAGAAGGCCCAAAGCGGGGTACAGGCAGCCGGCGCCCCCGGGGCGCAGGGAAGGAAGGCGTCTGCATCAACAACCGGTTCGAGCTGGTGAGGAGCGGGGCTGCCTCGGGTGGGGGTGGTGGGAGAGGGCGGTGTGCCGGGCGGGTCGTGACGTCACGGGGCGGGTCGACACACGGTCTGGGCTGCGGTGGGGGCGGGGGCCAAAGGCGAGTGGGTGGAGCAGGCGATGCGGTGGGCGGGGCTACGTTGGTTTTAGGTGGGGCCATTGGGGCCTGGGCTGCTTGGGTGGGCGTGGCCGTGACATCGGGGGGCGGGCCCGCAGCACAGTGGGCGGGGCCTCGCCTCGATCAGGGAGCTTTTCGCTTCATCCCAGGGTCGAGCCAGGGCGTTGCAGGGACATTGCTGACTTTCTTGTTTACTTCTCACAACCCAGGACTCGGCGCTTTGCTCATCGCTGAGTCCCCCACAGCAAGTGTCTGACAGAAATAACACCGTAGATGTGAGTGGAAGGAGTAAGCGCCCATCAGGGTTTCTTTAGCCGGATTCAGTCTGGGCTTTTCCATGTGCGCGCATCGCCTCATTCTTCTTGTATCTGTGTGCGGACGGGTAACTGGCTGCTTGGCTCACCTTGTATCCTCTCCACGATGTGCCCGAGTGGTTGGACAGACAGCAGTAGGTCTGAGGATCACGGAGAAACCAGTGACTCTTTGTAATCTCTTTCTTGGTCTTACGATTGCTCCTTTATGTGAAGTTGGCAAGTTAGCAACCTCGTGAGATGGCGGGGCGTGTGGGCTGCCAGTGTCGGAGTGTGGTTTAGACATTACTGACCTTCTCTCTTACGGTGAGAGACAGCCTCACCCTGTAGTCTCGTGCGAGGTGGGACGAGTCCTCTCCTGATTCCCCACGGTGCTCCTCCACTTGTTCTGATTCTGAGACCAAAAGTAACTCCTTCCCCTCTACTCTGTTTCTTCTGATTTCTTTTTCTTTTTGGCATTTTTGTCGTAAGAAATTTCAGACATGCACAAAATTAAAAGTAGTGTTGGCCTTCCTGTGTCCATCTCCCAGCTCCCGCAGTTGGAAGCAGGGCCAGTTTTGTCTCCCCATCACATCATGTGTCCTTAAATTTGCCAGTCATTTCTCTGGCTTCTCTCAAAATCCTGAAGTCTTCTTTCTCATCTCACTTGTTCACGGGCTGAAATCCGTTTGTGCCAAGGGCAGCCATTTCCACAGACGTTTTATCTGGTTGTGCTTTCTCTTTCCCATATTCCCCAGATTTAGTCCTTAACACCAACAGCTATTGTTTGGAGGACATCACACGTTCCACGGGCTGGAGGGTGTTACGTATCCCAGGTGCTGCTGGTGTGTCATCTGATTCACATAGCCTGGGAAGGAGACCTATAGAGCCTCTTGTGCAAATGACCTACTAAGTGACACTTGAAAAGTAAACCCAGGCTTTCTGACCTAAAATCTGTACCCTAAACCACGTCATGGTATTTACCTCTGAAGCAAAATTAATGTTCCTGCTGAAGAAGAAAGGAGGGTAAATGAACAGGGAGCAGAGTGTTTGGGAGAAATGAAAAAAATGGCAGGTGCTTACATGTGTGAATGGAGGAAAAGAATTCTGTTGTGGACCTCCCCATGAAATCATGTCGGAGGGATTCAAGATCTGCA